GAATCATAAATTGCGCTCCTGCTGTGGCGAAACACCTATTTGCACAAAAAATGCGCAACGGTTTCCGACACGTGCGGTAGTGGTAGTAGTGGTGGTAGTAGTAGTAGTAGTAGCAGCAGCAGCAGCAGAGGCAGTAGCAGAGGCAGTAGCAGAGGCAGTAGCAGTAGCAGTAGGAGTAGGAGTAGGAGTAGTAGTAGTGGTACTGGTACTGGTACTGGTGGTGGTAGTGGTAGTAGCAACAGTAGTCGCAGTAGAAGCAGTAGCAGCAAACAGCAGTGTCCGGTGGAGTAGTAGACAATGAAGGAAGTACTGTCTCTCATCATGCTGGATAGCTCTACATGGCAGCTGTGGTGCTCCGGTCCTGCTCGGCAGAAACGAATTGCGTCTTGCGCCCGGAGTAGTGGAAAAGCGAGAAAGTTCCTAAGTATACGGCTGTTCACTTGCACAAGCGCATGCCACCTGCAGACAGATCAGAGACACATCGACACTGCATTCACTACATCCTTCCAACTTTACACCTTTTTCGGAAGCCTTCGGCTTCAATGCCCAATGTACAGAAACAACAGAAAACACCACCCAAGGCTCCGTTTTCGTAGAGGTCGAACCTGGGAAAGCTGAGTTGTGAGGTAGCGGGAGATCAAACGGACCCCTCGGCTAATGTAACTGCTCTCGTGGGCAGCTGCGCTTGCTGGCGAGGGGCTTGTCGCCGTCCAGCGTGAGGATGTGCGGGTCGCCGTACTCGCTTCCGTCGACGCTGCCTCAGACTCTTGAAAATTGGAGCGACGAATCACGACAAAGATGATGCGGACGGCACTGACGTTGATATTGGTTCTGATGACTGATGAAGCAGAACATGACTGTAGCGGGAACGATGCGGATAAACAGGACAATGCTGAGCCCCAGTGGCACCTCAGAACACAAGTAGCTCTGGCAACTCATCAATAAACGACTAGCAACCAACATATGAGGATGTGGCAGACGCAGCATCATGTGGCTTTTGGGAAAATCAGCCACCCTGGTGTAAACAGAAAAATTCTAGTAGTGGAACCAACTGGAATCGTCACTGTAACGGCCCCGGACATGCCACCCCCGTTTCATTGAACCACGCCAACGGGTCATAGCGTAAGCTTAATGCGTGACCGGCCCAGCCGCACTGCTTGATTTGTACAATCGCGCCGGAGCCGGCCATCAAGACTTTCATCTTCCTCGGCAACGCATCGGATGACCAAAAGGATGAGAAGCATCTCCACGTAAAGACCAGTAGTACATGACATCATTTTAATACAATATGAGCATGCATGTTTACAAGCATGTATACAGAATGCGTGTGTGCATGTGATATAATTACTAAACGCACGATAATGTATGGAAGCAATGCAAATTCTTTTCCTAGATGAGTGCAGTCACACTTCATTCGGTAGCAACCGTTCTCCACGAAGTGCGCACTAAAAGCCAAAGAGCTGCATCTTCGTCAAATTATGAGGTATAGGGTTTAGGGTTTAGCGATTAGGTTTAGGGATTAGGGTGTAGGTTTTGGAATTTGGGGTTAAGAGTTGGGGGCTAGGTCAACATTGCACCCGGTTTGTCCCTGTTCCAGCTTCATGTGCTGTTTCCTGCTCTCGTCCTCATTCTTGCTCTCACTAAATAGGCTTCGGGTTCGTTTAATGATGGTGGTACATAGTGGCATAGTCTCACACAGCAGGAGGCCGACAAACCCACAAACTTACGCCGGCACCCTGAATTCTCAGACCCTTGCACTGGCCTCTGGCCCTAATAATTAGAATAGGGTTTTGGGGCCCGGTACGAGTATACTATGGTTAGAATTAGGAATGGTAAAGAATTAGGCCAATGCATTAATTGACCCGGCCCTGGGAGCATGTACCCAAAACCATGTGGCGATGTGTACTTGCTCTTGTTCCTGTGATCCTGCAATGCCAACTGCCATTTTGTTTGTAAACAACTCCAAACCTAGCGATGAAGAGTACACGTTAATGACTCGCGTGATGTATAAGAACCTCTCCATCTCTCTCTCCCTCCTATTTGTAGCTATTATGTGTATATGTATATATATATAT